ACACTGAAGGGGTATGTTGGGGGTACTTGGTGAAGGGGGGAGCCTAGTAAACATAATGTTCTTCATGTAATTGTAGATTAATGATACCAAAATAAAAAAATTAAAAAAAAAAGTAAAGATGGAAGTAGGGTAGGGTGTCAGGCAGAAACCACCCTGTATTGAATACTTGCTATGTGCCAGGCACTGCACCATGTGCAATATCTGCAAATTAGAGATTATTATCCTTATTTTATAGGTGAGATAACTGAGACTCAGAGAATTGATTTGCTCAGAGTTTTCTGCCTGGACCAGAATTCAAATGCTCATTTAACTTACTCTGAAGCCCTTTATTCGTCCTTTTCTTTTTATGACACTACACTCAGCCCACAAGAGGCAGGAGAAGGCGGCATCTCAGTCTCCTTTCTTCAGCCCTTCCTCCAGTGCTGTTTCCATAATTCTCAGAGCCCACGCTGGGGAACACAGGCCACTGACCAATTGAAGGCATGAAGGATTTGGGCTGCACAGAGTTTCTCCTAACCATGCTCTGATTTCTCATTTCCCTGTCCTAGCTCATCTCCCTTGGTCTCCTTGTTCCCATTTTCTACTCTGTCCTCTTTCAAGTTCAGCCTGCTTAAGCAAGTAGGTAAATTTTTTTATTTCTTTTGCCCAAAAACCTTCAGTAACAACTGTACTGCCTGTGGTGAGAGTCTAAGGAATGCCAAAAAGGTTTCTTCTCTTTTGCCAGCTTCAGTTGACTGATGATGGCTGATTGGAACCAGTGTTGAGGAGGTTTCTGAGGTTCTTTTTAAAGGCTCCACAGGAAAGAACTGCTGGGAGGGATTCAGGACTTTTTAGATGCAGAAGTGCAGAACAGTGGCATGCATGCCAGCATTTGTCAAACTTCTAGATTGGGTTTTTAATCTAGGGTCCACTATTAATTTCATGAGGATCTGTGAAACCCTGGGTGTTGTACATAAAAAAATTTTATGTTCACTTGGAGAGGCTCATCAGTTTTGATCATACTCTCAAAGAAGCCTGTGGCTCAAAAAAGGTTTATGCCCACTGCCTTGGCCTCCTAGCTTGGCTTCTGAGGTCTTATTGTAGGCCCTGCCTCCCTTGGCAGTGGTCTGTTTCTCTGCTATGAACTGTCACTGGATAGATCTCTTGATGATCTCTGAATATACCTTCCTGGTACTTCCCTCTTGTACTGTTCCCTTTGTCTTGACTGGCATCTCTAAACAACTGAACCCATTGTTCAGGGCACAGTTTAAGTCTTTTCCTTCAGAAACCTCTTTGATTTGCATAAGATGGTCCTGATTATCTAGTCTCCTGGACTGTGGTCCAGAGAAATGAGGCATCTGATTGAATCACAGTTAGGATCCTAATTCCAATCTCTTTTAACTCTCAGAACCATGCACTCCCCACAGCACCACTTGGCCTTTGTAAGTTTTGTAAATGAGGAACAGGATTTTGTGCAAAAAGATTTTTTTGTCTCACAGAAAATTCAACCCCTGGGTTCTTAGCCTTTTTACCATCCTTGGCCATAGAGAAGTGTTCCTGCATAAAAGAAGCTTAACAAACTGTTTGCCTTAAGAGGCCCTGGACTTTCACCAGAGAAGTCCTCCAAACTAGAAGTGAGAGAGTCTCCTCTCTTGACGCTCTCCCCTCTCTTTATGTGCCCCAGTCATGCTGCCTTCTCCTCTGGGTGAGAGGCTTTTCCCCAGCCTGGAACACCCCTACGCCTCCTGCACCCCTTTTTGTCTGGCTAACTTGCTATCATCATGTCCTCAGAGAGGCCTTCCCAATCACTAAGACTGGCAGCCTATGGTCTCCGTTTATAGCCCTCATCCTGTGTGTGGTTATGTGTTTGCTGGCCCATCTCCCCTCGGCTTTTCCAGGGCCTGTCTCATTCCCTGCCTCAGCACAGGCCAAAGGAGTGAACAGGTACCTGACATGGCTCCTCTTCCAAGCCTCAGTCACCTGCTTGCTTCAGCGCAGAGGTTTTATTTGGCTTGGTCCCAGTTTCCCCAAATACCCTCCACCCATTCCTCATAAGCAGATCCTGCCATGGTGGTGAGTCCCTCTTGACTTTTGGTCTCCCCCTTTCCTGGCCTCCTGCAGCACTTCTGGTGGGAAACCACACACTACATACTTTGATTTCCTAGTATCCTGAGTCCTCCCTCTACAACTAAACTGTATACCCACTAGGGCAGACCCCAGATCTTCTCTTCACCCCCATCCTAGAATCTAGCATAGAACCAAGCACATGTTACATTGATTTGCTGAAGTTAATTTAGCCTTCTATCTTCCATGTTATGTAGAGCCGGGTTCAGTCTACAGGTGAGAAGGAGTCAGGCTGTAGAACCATCATTGAAATGGGTTCCAGTCACTGTATTGCCCCTTAACTAGTTTTGTGACCTTAACTGAGTCATTTCACCTCACTGAGCCTGTAGCTCATCCATGAAAACATTATCATCAGCTCCTTAAAGATCCAAGGTCATTTCTTGCTTATAGTAGATGCTTAGTAAGAGTTGGTTCTATTTGCTCCCTTTCTGCCTACCCCTACATTGTAGGACCTCCTGTTCCTGGGACCCAGAATTCAGACTTTTAGTGGTATCTTAAAACCATATATCCAACAACTATTGAGCTCCTGTGTGCTAAGCACTGGCATAGAGAGCCAAATAGGCTTGGGTGGGCTCTCTTAGAAACCTAATTTAACATTTCTACCATTCTTACCATCTTTCCTTGCATTCGAAGATTTCCATTTTCCAAACACCACCGTACAGATAAACCTAAGGAGTATGATCCTTTTGAAAACTGGGAACTATGCAGGTAGTAAGTGTCACTGGACATTTGGTGCTCAGCATGGGGAAATTCTGTGGAAGAGAGATCTATGGACTGGGTGTCATGGAAGCCTCAAGCCAGGATTGTATCCCATAGCATGAAGGTAGGATTAGAGTAGGCAGAGAGGCAGGGAGAGAGCAAGTGGGAGTGTCAGGGTGCTAAGGTAGGGAAGGCAAATTCTTTCCTCAGAAGGCTGGGAGTTTAACAGCAGAGCAGACTCTTTGGGAAGAGGGAGGGAGGTAGGGGAAGCCTGGCACTGGGAGGAGGGTTAACCAGAGGAGCTCGGATGGGTATTTAGTTCTCAAAGGCCTCTAACTATTTCCAGATTGATTCAGTCTCCCTGTTTGTTGACTGTCTCATTTCTTCCACTCTTAAATCCATAATAAGCCCATACATTGAAAATATTCCTCTGTCTCATTCTAGGCTGTTGTCAGAAGGTGCAGATGTCAATGCACGGCACAAACTTGGCTGGACAGCACTTATGGTGGCAGCCATCAACCGAAACAGCAGGTGAGTGATCCCCTAGCCAGATCTCTGTAGACCACGCTCCTGAATCCTCTCTCACCTTTGCTGTCTTCTCCAGAGGCAGGAAGATGGACTCAGCCTAAGATACTGGTCCACACCTAGTGAAATGGAAAGTATAGGAGATGTGGAAACAGACTATGGGAAGATGGTAGGACTTTGGATCTCAGCTCCATCATTAATTGGCTTTGTGATCTTAGGGGAGTCATTTGCATTATTGAAGCAATGAAATGTTTGAAAGCGTTGGAAGTTGTTAAGTGTACATATGCAAATTATCTTCATGTTTTCATTGTCCACCATCTGTCTGTGTTGAGAAGTGTGCAGTCTCTGTCCCTAGTAAGGGTTCCCCCAGGCTGTTTCTTTTTTCTCATGGAAACCAGGGAAGGTGGAGGTGTTCCTTCCCTGCCATTGGAGGCCCTGCTGTTTTTCTACCTGCTCTTCCATTCCCTCAAGGTGTAGCTTGAGTTGAATAGAGATGGAAATAGTCCACTTTGTATAGAAGCATTCTCTGTAAATCTCACAACTAGCCCACAATGATATATTATTATTCTTGTTTTGAAGGTGACAAAATTGAAGCCTAAAGAGAGAAGGTGATTTGTCTGAGGTCACACAGACAGGATTTAGAACCTGGTCTGGCTGCCTATAAAGTTTGTGTTTTACTATACCACATGCTGCCTCCTTCAGTCATATCTCAGGCTACAGCTGGATGCTGCCTTTCCATCCCAGTCTCTAGCTGTGATTGTACAAAAGATCTGATTGAACAAGAGCAAAATGAAATTATTTAAGGAAAGCAGACTGGGCCCTTCAGTAGCAGCTCCTGAAATTGGTAGTTGGAGATACCAATTGACATTTTCCCTTCAAGCAGATCTTCAAGGCTTTTATCTGCCAGTACTAGCCATCCTAAATGGATCATAATATGGTGGGTCATAAATGTTGTAGAAACCAACCAAACAGGGATTTTATAATATCAGGGTTACTCTGCTTCAAATTGGCTGAGAGACTTAGCTGAACTTGAGATAGGTCTCTCTTCTCTGCTCCTCTATCATGCACTTGTTCTCAGAACTGTTTCCTTATTTGCCTCTTTAGCTCCAAGCACTTAGTATTTAAAAAAGGCTTGATATAAATATGCTTTGCAGTTGAGAGACTTGGAATCTAGTCCTGGTTCTGACCCTTAGTTGAATTTTAGGATTCTATGGACACCCTGTTTCTTTACCTGAAACCAATTATTTCTGCAAAGATTTGGTAAATATCTGCTCTGATCCAGGCTCTGTGCTAATCATTGGAGATCAGACACCTTGGGAACACTCAGTCTAATGTGAAAAAGGCAGGGAGGGAGACAGAGTATAGTGTAATCAAGGATATCAAAGTAATGTGGGCAGGGTATTATTAAAGCAGAGAGTGTGAGGGGACTGAATCTGGCTGCAGAGTAGATTCTTATGTTCTAATGAGAATAAAATGAGATGATAATATATGTGCTACAGGTTACAAATAGAGAGTTGTTCTTCCCTACTGCCCACATTAGACCTCTGTACACACAACACAGATGTGTTTATTCTACTACTGATATACACCCTGCACACACCACCATGTCTACCCTGCCCACCAGTCTTCTTTCCCAGATTGCATGTATCTCCATCTGCAAAAATTAGGCTAGTGGTGGAGAAAAGGGAAGGGGTATGCACCCTTTTATGTATAATAATCCAGTGTTGAGCCAGAATAGGAAATGATACTATACTGAAGAATACTGTTAATCAGTGAGAAGGTAGTGAGTAGATGTGCTTTGGGAGCACTTCTCTCTGAAGCTAACAAGTTGTTGGTTTAACTGATTGCTCTGTCTTTATCCAGGGCCATTAGCAGATCAGTGATGCTCATTGAGAAAGTGAGAGTGTTGGTTTGTATTTACTTGCTTTGATTTCTAGGGCTAATTATTGGGGATTTTAAGCATCCATTTTGTGCCCTCCTCTTCCTTTGAGTACCCAGGGAGGACAGATTTTTATTGAAAATAGTGCACTATCAGGTTGGATTTATTTATTAATATCACAATTTTGGGGGCATCTACTGTTTGTCAGGCACTATTCTTGACAAAGATCCTTGCCCTCGTAGAGCTTATTTCTACACTGGTGGTTAGTTCTTGGGTAGAGAGAGGCAGGGACAAACAATATATCCAATGTGTAAGTAAACTACCTAATATACTAGAAGGTAAGAAGTGCTATGGAAAAGAGGAAAAGTAGAATCTGGTACAAGGGAATGCTAGGACTATTGGTCAGGGTGATTAGGCCTCATTGGTAAGGTGCCATAGAAGTAGTCTGGAATGATTATCACGTCCATACCAGCATGATTGGCCAGTAAAATTCTCCTTGTTAGAAGTGTACCAAATCTCATCTACTCAACTACCAAACCCATCTGGAATCGTATTGGCCAGGCCTGAGATGCCACTGCCTTTGAGTTGACGATTTGGATGAAGGGAAGGAGTAGAAGGGTAGCACCCCTTAACTCAAGGCTGGAAGCAGACAGCCTTCCCCTCCTTTAGAATGTTGGCAGCCCACAAGCTCAAGGGAGAGATCCTGAGAGCAGTCCAGTCTTTTCACCCTTAATTGCCTGTAGTAAGCTACTTGCTTGATATGCTAAGTACTTAGGGATATAAAACACAAGTCTCTATCCTTAAAGAGATTAATTTCTTGTGAACTTTTATGTATGTATGTATTTATTATTATATGGGTTTTGAATAGTAAAGAAAGTACTATTCAATTTTGAATAGAAAATACAGTGCTATAGAACAAAAATTTTAAAGTAGGCATGGGAACTTAATTTATAATTTATTCCCTCCTTTTACTTCCAAAAGGTGTGAGGTGACTTAAACTAGGATACAAACATAAATGTACACAGGAGAATTAAAACTGTATCATGATCAGGAATCATATTAGTAAAAGGAAAGATAATTGTATCAGGATTGAACCAGAGATTTCCTTTTCTGAAAATAGGTATATTATTTTTGCAAAAATAATGTAAAGAAGAAAGTAGTGGTTACATGAATTCCCTCTGTCTAGAGATTGACCATTACTTGTATGTATCTATATATATAATTTTACATAAATGGGAACATGATATACTCACAGTAAATCAGGTAATTAGTGAAATCAAACATTAATATAGAATAAGGCTTCCTGATGAGCAAAGCAAAAAAAAGAGAGTTTTGATTCTTCAGGAGAGAGGAACATTGTTCTAACTTCCCTTTATATTGTCATCCTGTGCATCCAGCAAACCTTTTTAAAAACTACTGCGTCCAGTGCTGATGTGCTAGGCTATGAGTGGATTCAGATAATAAGCATCACAGCCTTTGCTTTTAGAAGCTTACTTGGACTGCTGACATCAAGGACTCAAGTAATGTGGCCATTGTCTTCAGTAGCTGTTCTGCCAGAGATTTACCAACATTCTACTAGGATGATGGATGATCCTTTTGCCAGCCTTAGTAACAGCTTGGCTGTAGTATTGACTGAGGAGCAGTCACTGGGAGCTGGCCCGTTCTCCACAGTGAGCCGTCCATAAGCCTCATGCCATAGGCACTTGTTTAGCCTGAGACTGGGTGCCTCATTCTGGGTTGTACTCTGACCCGGCCCAGCTAAAGGTTAAGCCTTTAGGTCCCAGGATGATCACTGTGACTTAGCATAGCCTTCACCAGCTCGTGCAAATATACCCAGCCTTTAGCTAAATTCAATTAGTTTTTATTTAAGAAAGGAAAGAAATCCAATTTTACCAAACACGGACAGACGGTGGAAGGCACTTTGATGTTACAACCTCTCAGTGATGCTTTACTTAGTCACAAGTTCATAAGCAAGAAGGCTTAATTACTTGGGAAAACACAGGATTAAAAGTGGACACAATGGCTGATGTATCCACTCTTGGGTGACTTGATTCGAACCCATGCACCCAGTTCGTGTGTGGTGCAAACTTTGATGTGTGCTGTAACAAGCTGAAAGTCATGACCCCCTCAGGAAAGCTCCTTCAGATGGCATTCGTAGGATGTATGGCAGAGAGGCAGGACCTGCCAGCCCTGTTTGCTTAACTTTGATGTCCAAGCAGCTACAGGCCCCACTGTTTGCTCTTTCACTGAGGGATGGACTGGGAACCTCCTACCTTTCCCAGTGGACAATAGCCAGCAATGGAGTGTGACGCCTGTTGACCATTCCAGGGGCCTGGTGGACCAGAACAGGACTTTGGGAGGTGCAGAGCCTGGGGGGCCAAAAGCTGTTTATAAGAGAGTCATTTCTCCAGAAACAGCTTTCTTCAAAGCCTTATGTTGGTTGGGTGCTTATAATAGAGGCAAAAATAGTCTCTTGAATTTTAGCAGGTACCAAGTGCTGCTTTGGCCCTCTGTCCAATGACACTAAGGTACTTGTAAATTGAAAGTTTAAGTCTTCCTGAATGTGTGTACAGGGATAGTGGTTTAGAAGAAAAATGGTGTGATTTAGAGCCTTACAATTTGTAATTCCTCAAAAAGAAGCTATCAAAACACATGTCTGATACAGAAATAGTATCCAGAAGATAAAAAGAACCCTTAGAAAAATCAATGATAACTTTTAAAACCCAACTTTTTAAAAATGGGTAAAAGATTTGAACAGACCCTTCACTGAAGAAGAGATGGATGGCAAATAAATACATGAAAGATTAGTTATTTAGGGAAATGCACATTAAAATTACAATGAGATACCACCACACACATACTGCAATGGTTAAAATTTAGAAAAACTGACAATACCAAGTGATGACAAGGATGAAGAACAGTTGTCATCACTGCTGATAGGAATGCATCGTAGTATTGGCCACTTTGGAAAAGACTTTGAGAGTTCCATATAAAGGTAAAACATACACTTAACATACAACCCAGATATACCAACTGCTAGCTATTTTTCCATGAGAAATAAAAGTAAACATCTGCAAAAAGACCTGTATGCAAGTATTTGCAGTAGCTTTATTCTTAATCACCAAAA